CTGTGGCTGCACCAGCAGGGCTACGCCGACAAGCTGCGTAGGCGCTTCATCGACGAGGAGCAGACCGGGCGCACCCCGAAGACGCCGGTCTCGGTCGACGCCTACGCCGAGCTCACATTCGACGACGAGGAGGCGCAGGAACGCCAGGAGGAGGAGTTCCGGCAGAAGGTCGGCTCGCTGCAGTTCGCAGCGACGACGACGAGGCCGGACGTCGCCTTCGCCTGCAGCAAGCTGGGGAGCGGCCTCACGGTGAGGAGCGACCAGCACTGGCGCGAGGTCGACCGCTGCCTCGCCTACCTCGCCAACACGCGTGACACCGCCCTGGAGTTCGGCGGTGGACCTGAGTCGCTGGAGCTGGTCAGCTACGTGGACGCCGACGACGCCGGTGACAAGCAGAACAGGACGAGCACGGGCGGCTACGTGTTCGTCTATGGAGGGGCCGCCGTCTCCTGGTCGAGCCAGCGCATCAAGTGCGCGACGTTGTCGTCGACCGAGTCGGAGTACGTGGCGGCCACCGAAGCCGGGAAGGAGGGACGCCGACTTCGCTTCCTCCTCGCTGAGTTTCGGCAGCTGGACGCCGGGAAGCCGACTGTCCTGAGGGTGGACAACAAGTCGGCCATCACGGTCGCCGAGGGCATGGGGTTGACAGGCAACCTCAAGCACATGGAGCGGCGACAGGCCTGGCTGCAACACATGGTGAAGCGCGGGAAGTTCTCGCTGCAGTACATCCCGACCGCTGAGCAGCCAGCCGACTTCCTGACGAAGGCGCTGCACTATCCGGCCTTCAACCGATGCTCCGTCGCAATCGGCCAGGTGCGCTTGGCCGACGTGGGCGACGGCGACAACAACGTGCAGCAGTAGGTGCCATGCCCTCTTGCATGGCTGGTGCGGTGACCGGCGTGCTGTGTGTTGGGTGCACGCCGACGGGCTATTCTCGGAGATGTACTGCCGTGTGGGCTGGGGGCCCAAGCGTGAACGCGGCAGGGGAGTGTCAACGGGAGTGATGTTAGGCCCCGTCCTCGCTTGGGCGGAGCCAACCTTGTGGTCGGATGTGCGGGGGTTGCAGCCGACCTGCAGCAGTGGGCACGGGGGCCACTGCAAGGGCGCCGAGCTGGAGGGCGCCTGGCTGGAGGGCGCCGAGCTGGAGGACGCCGCCCTGGACGCCTGGTTGGCGTCCTGGACGCCTGGACGGCGTCCTGGGAAGCTGGACACCGACCTGGGCGTCGGTACGACTTCCCGGGCACCTGGTCGATGTTGTGGGCGCCTGCACGGCGTCCTGGGGGCCAAGACGCCGACCTGGGCGTCCTGGGAGGACAGACGCCGACCTGGGCGTCTGGTCGGCGTCCTGGGAGGCTGGACGCCGCTCTGGAGGTCTGCACGGCGTCCTGGGCGTCTGGACGCCGACCTGGGGGTTCGGGCGGTGTCCTGGGCACCTAGACGCCGGACTGGAGACGCCGGGCATGCGTGGCCGGCTACGGACTACCCTGGTCGACCAGGTGTGGTAGCCCGGTTGACCGGGATACCCGGGCGACGTGCGCGAGTGTCGCCGGGGTGGAGTCTGCGAGGCCGACCTCGGGGGTGGTATCCCGAGGTCGACGTGGCTGGTGGGCGCAGTTGCTGGCGTGGAGTCTGCCAGGCGTCTGCGCTGTGCACGTGACAAAGACGAGTGCACCAACCAGCTGCGCGCACCTGCGAAGCAGGTGCACCGTTGTCCTGCGGGTGCAACGCTGTGCAGCTGACTTGCTGCAGCGTTGGCACACCGTGGACTTGCAATGTTGGCGCACCGCTACTCTGCAACGCTGGAGCGGTGCGAGCGCTGCTGCGCTGGAGCGCGGTCGACCATGCTGCGCTGGAGGTCGACCAGCAGCCTAGCTAGCTCTGATGTAGTCAGTGTTCCCAACGTTGTTGCTATCTTTGTTGTGAACTTTTGCTAGTGGAACTCTTGCCAAATTCCCCCGTGAACCAGCAAGTAGTGCAAGCACGAGTAAACGACTAAGGAACGAATGAACGCAGAGATCACACGAGCACCCGTGCCTAGCCCGCAGCCTAGCTCCCGTTACTGCAGTTATCTCCGCAGACACTACCCAAACCAGGGCGACAACTCGTCATGACGACCTTTCCCTTGCCTCCCCTGCCATTCCCTCCCCTCCCCCACCCCCTCCAATCGTTACATTCACTTCCATTCCATTCGCTTCCCTTGTTGTCACTTCCCAAGCCAGCGCGAGAACAACTCGTCATGACGACCTTTCCCCTGCCATTCCCTCCCCTTCCAACCCCATCCGCCCGCCTTCCCACCCTCCCCCACCCCCGATATTTTCCCTTTCTCTCCCGTTTCGTGGCCTTATAGCCAGCGCCACTCCGCTGATGCGAGCATGGAAGAGGGAGGGTGGGGGATACGCGTGCATCATGGTGCAAGATTGGAATCTAGGTTAGCTGCTAGGCTTCCTACACCAGGTAAGTCGTCCCAGTGCATCCCCCTCATTCCCCACGTTCCCATCCTGCCCTTGCTTTCTTGTCCTTCCCATCCTATCCTGCGCTTCCTTTCATGACCTTCCCTTCTTTCCCGTCCCTTCCTCCCCTTCCTCCCCTTCCCGTCCCTTCCCTGGTTTATTTCCCATCTGTTATCTTCCCCTCTATTCCCATCCCTTCTCCTTCCTTCGCCTCCTTCCTCCTTTCTTCCTCCCTCTTCCCTACCTCCCGTTCTCGCCTCCGCGCCTCTCCATCTCGCCTCCCTGCCTCCCCAGCTTCCAATCATGCCTTCCCATCTCCTCTCCTATCGCTCCATCCCCTTCCTGGCGCCCCATCTTCCTAGCCTGCCTCCACAAGTCCCTTTCTTGCCTTTCGATCTCCCGGTCCTGCCTCCGCAGTCGCCCCTTCCTGCTTTCCCAACTCCCCATCCCTCCTCACTTCGTTTCCGCTTTAAACAGGACAGGACAGTGCCGGGCTCAGGCGAGCAAGGCATCGTACAGGAAGCAGCAGCAGGCACAAAAGAGTCTTGTGGAGCAAAGGCAACAGCAAGAGTAGGCAACAGCGCACGTAATCGCTGCGACAGCAACAACGCACGCACGCGCACTCGCAGCACCCAAACTTTTGGGGATTCTTAAAAGTGATTCTGTCATGAGGAACCGGGTTTATTTTTTAGGCGCCTCAAAAAGCACCCAAACTTTTGAGGATTTTTACAAGTGATTCTGTCATGAGGCACCGGGTCTATATTTGAGGCGCCTCAAAACTGAGACAATTTTTGAGGCGCCTCAAAAAGCACCCAAACTTTTGAGGATTCTTAAAAGCGATTCTGTCATGAGGCACCGGGCCTGCGAACACAATCACTCCGGCATCGCCCGCCGGACTCATCATAAGCCCCTCCCGACCTCTCACACACTCGCCTCGCGTGCACCCCCACACACCCTTCCTCCTCGCCACATGCCTTCCATCCCCAGAACGGTATCAATCCTCAACACCCTCACTTCCTTGAAACAGCTTCAAATCACTGTCCATCCCATAAACTACCATCTCTTCCATACCCGTTCCCTCGCCTTCCCACCCTCCCCACTTCCATTCCCGTCCCTTCTATTTCCCCTACAACCCCTCATAAGGTATGCAAGCATGCCAAGGGCTCGGTGGGTAAGTCTTCTACCGTATGTCTGGATCTGCTAACTCCGTTAAATAGGCAGTGCTAGGGGTCGGATCTGGGTGGGCAGGTTAAGTGTGGGTCGGGTTAGGTTTGGGGTCGGATATTGGTGGGAGGGATTGTAGTGTGCACCTAAAATTGGTGAACACATTTCTCAACAAATTTTCATTTTGATGTTCGACTAGGCCTAGTCCTCACATGAATGTAAGGCTTCAGTTGATTTGTACATAGTTTAGGGATCACCACAGTAAGCAGAATCATTATTCCTGGTCTCACAATGAAGAGCTCAGGAGGGTTCGTCAAGTGATTATGCAAAGCTTGGGATATGGTGTGTGTTGTTCCTAGCTGTCCATTCAAACTTTACATGGTAAACTCTTTCTCCAGCTTATATGGCACATTCAATCTGCACATATCGTGACCGCAAACCTAGGCCCGGTTCGGCAGGCACATCAGCCCGGATGGCTACAGTAAAGTGACCACCCGAGAACCTTCTTTGATAACCTGTTGACAGGCTATCAAGGCTCGAGATAAGCGCACGGCTGCCGAAGCTCAATGTCAGCGGATGATTGCCGAACGTCATCTTTGGCCCACGAGATTTTACATGTCGCCGCGATCCTGGAAAATCCTTCTTCTAGCAATTTCGCGCATCTCTGATGCGCGCATGGTGCGCCTTCTCGAGGGTGCATCATGCGCGCATCACTGGTGCTCGCCCGCGAAATTTATGGTGCGAAGGTGTCTTGAACGCGCTGATGGGCTTCCGCGAAACCCTGGACATTTTGCATTTCAAATGTCCAATCCCAAGCCTCAATTTATCACTTTCCACATCATCCATCCGCCGTAGCCCATCCGGGCTGATGCGCCTGCCGAACAAAGCCCTAACCTTCACGAACTGGCACCGACAGCCAAGTACGTAGGCCCCCACACTGGAAGCGCGACATAATCGGTTTTTCATTTTCAGGCGAAAGCCTCGAGGGCTTCCTCCAGGGTCGACTTGGTCACAAAGCCCTTGAACGTCTGAACCGCACTCCCATCCTTGTAAATCTTCACAACAGGCACATCTCGGACGCCCTCAGATCTGGCCGTCTGGGGGTTGTCGTCGATATCCATCTTGAAGACATCGACCTTTTCTGAATATTCCCACTTGAGCTGGTCAATGGAGGAAGCGACCACTTGGGAAGGGCCGGACCATGACGCGTAGAAGAAGACGAGGGCAGGAAGCGCACCGTTTCCAACAGAGTTCGAGAAAGTGGAATCCGTCACAGTCTCCGCCATTGAAATCAGCTACTAGCGCGTACTAGGTGCGGAGGGAGACTAAGACTCGGAGTAGACCCACTGTGAATGTGACGGAAATTTGGAGGCCGACGTTTACCAAATGAATCGTATAAAATGTGGCACTTCGCCTTTACCCCAAGCTCTTGCGGCTCTGATCCGCGTTGCAAACGAGCGCGAGGCCTTGACAGTGCAACCTGACGGAGCGAGGAATGAGGGGAGGGACGTGGAGGCAAATTATGGGAAAAACGCCTCCAGCCAGCCTTGCGTGGGTGTGTGGTGGGGAGCGCTCGTGGGCGATGTTGAGCGCGGATCGGATACACGGCTGAGGCGCATTGTACACGGTCCTAAAAACGTGATTACTGTACTTTTGAGTCGACTGAAAGGCGGCCGCTCGTGGGCGATGTTGAGCGCGGAGCGGATACACGGCTGGACCGCATTGTACATGGTCCTCAAAACGGTACCTATTCAGCAGCGCGCTTTCAGCCCGAACCCGTTGATGCGGTTGCGCAGGCGGAACGAGCGCTGTCGTGAGGGTCAAGAAAATGTACTCATCCATGTCCTGGGTTCGGTTTTGAGTAGCCTGCGATTCAGTGGGGTGGGAAAGGATGAGATGCGGTTAGTGATAGGCCACAGTCAAGAAATCAGACGAGGATGAGTGAGTGGAGCGGGGTTAGTTGAGCAGCGGCCTGGTGGATAACGATACTGTACTGTGCGATTTGGCGACCTACCACAGTCGTGATACTGTAACAAAATGTTCAGAACCAATGAATCACGCACGTTATGAAATAAATATCAATAATCGAGTGTTTCTCTCAATTCTTGAAGTTACGGATAACTGGAGGGTGCCAGCTCTCTTTTGCCATAGCACTGTGCGAGGTATGATGGGAAAACTAGCAGCTATTCACCCAGAGAAAAGCCCTGTATCACATCTTGAAGCAACTTTTAATTGCTCTTTCTCGCTTCAATAACTTGCTGTCCCAAAACGATCACCCTAATTTGGTATTCCCTCCCCTTCTAGCCCCGCATCTTTCCTTCCCTCCCCTGGCCCCCCTTCCCGCCCTCCCCCCATCCCCTTATCTTCCCTTTCTCTCCCATTTCGTGGCCTTAAAGCCAATGCCACTCCGCTGATGCAAGCATGGAAGAGGGAGGGTGGGGGAGTATGCGTGCATCAGGGTGCAAGATTATAATCTAGATATGAACAAGTGCGTCCAGATCTAGGCTTCCTACACCAGGTAAGTCGTCCCAGTGCAGCAGCCCGTCATTCCCAGCGTTCCCGTCCGGCCCTTATCTTCCACTCCTTCCCTTCTTGCCCTTCCCTTCCTCCCCTTCCCGTCCCTTCCCTGATTTATTTCCTATCTGTTATCTTCCCCTCTATTCCCATCCCTTCGCAACCCTTCCCCTTCTTCCTCCTTTCTTCCTCCCTCTTCCCTACCTCCCATTCTTGCTGCCGCGCCTCTCCTTCACTCCTCCCTGCCTCCTCAGATGTCAATCCTACCTTCCCCATCTCCTTTCCTGTCACCCCATCTCCCCATCCCGCCTTCCCACCTCTTTCTCCTGTCGCCCCATCTCCCCTTTCCGCCTTCCCACCTCCTCTCCTGTCGCCCCATCTCCCCTTTCCGCCTTCCCACCTCCTCTCCTGTCGCCCCATCTCCCCTTTCCGCCTTCCCACCTCCTCTCCTGTCGCCCCATCTCCCCTTTCCGCCTTCCCACCTCCTCTCCTGTCGCCCCATCTCCCCTTTCCGCCTTCCCACCTCCTCTCATGTCGCCCCATCTCCCCTTTCCGCCTTCCCACCTCCTCTCATGTCGCCCCATCTCCCCTTTCCGCCTTCCCACCTCCTCTCCTGTCGCCCCATCTCCCCTTTCCGCCTTCCCACCTCCTCTCCTGTCGCCCCATCTCCCCTTTCCGCCTTCCCACCTCCTCTGCTGTCGCCCCATCTCCCCTTTCCGCCTTCCCACCTCCTCTCATGTCGCCCCATCTCCCCTTTCCGCCTTCCCACCTCCTCTCCTGTCGCCCCATCTCCCCTTTCCGCCTTCCCACCTCCTCTCCTGTCGCCCCATCTCCCCTTTCCGCCTTCCCAACTCCTCTCCTGTCGCCCCATCTCCCCTTGCCATCCTCTTCCCATCCTGCCTCCACATCTCCCTTGCCTCCCCATCTCCCCATCCTGCCTCCCCATCTCCCCATCCTGCCTCCCCATCTCCCCATCCTGCCTCCCCATCTCCCCATCCCGCCTCCCCGTCTCCCCATCCTGCCTCCCCATCTCCCCATCCTGCCTCCCCCTCTCCCCATCCTGCCTCCTCGTCTCCCCATCCTGCCTCCCCGTCTCCCCATCCTGCCTCCCCATCTCCCCATCCTGCCTCCTCGTCTCCCCATCCCGCCTCCCCATCTCCCCATCGTTGTCCGCCTCACGAACTGACACCGACACCCAAGTACGTAGGCCCTCACACTGGGAGCGTGATACAATCGATGTTCTTTTGTTCAGATGAAATCCCTGAGGGCTTCTATCAAGGTCGACTTGGTCATTACGCCCTCGATCGTCTGAACCGCACTCCCACCCTTGTAAATCTTCACAACAGGAACATCTCGAACCCTCTCGATTTCGGCCGTCTGAGGGTTCTCGTCGATGTTCATCTTGAAGATATCAGCCCTTCCTGCAAATACACCCGCGAGCTCGTCAATGGAGGGACCGATTGCTAGGGAAGGGCCAGACGATGACGCGTAGAAGAAGACGAGGGCAGGAAACGTATCGTCCGAAAAAACAAGTCTCCAGAAAGTGGAATCCGTCACAGTCTCCGCCATTGAAATGAGCTACTGGCGCGTGCTAGGTGTGGAGGGAGACTAAGACTCGGAGTAAACCCACTGTGAACGTGACGGAAGTTTGGAGGCCGACGTTTACCAAATGACTAATTGTATAAATGTGGCACTTCGCCTATACCCCAACTACTTGGGGCTCTGATCCACATTGCAAGTGAGTGCGAGGCCTTGACCGTGCAACCTGACGCAGCGAGGAATGAGGTGAGGGCCGTTTGAGGAGCGGGGGGAAGGGAAATTATACGGGCGCTATGGCAGTGGAAGATGAAAAGAAACAAGGAGGTGAAATGAGAAATGTCGAGAAAGGAGTTGACGAGGGGGAAGTGGTTGGACCATGGCGTGGTCCACAAGGCACGATGTTTCGGACTTGGGGTGAGTTTAGAGTAAGGAAGACCAGTTGCTTAGAAAAAATTGTGCCATTCGTGTGAACTGGGCTATATTTGAGAGTCACTTTGTGCCGCCCTTCTTTCACGCATCACGCCAGCAGCGACATCCTCGAACAAGCGTGTTCGGATAACGGAGATCCTGATTGTTCGAATACTGAGTTCGAATATTTGCTTCTAGTGACTTAGTGCACATGCCAAGACTGCCAAACTCCCACAAGGCTCCCATAACGCTCCACTTGATCTGGCAGTCTGCCGGAAAGTTCACTTGGAAGTAGCTTCTCAAGCACCTCCTTTGTTTCTTGATCTAAAAGTGCCTTGAAGCGTGAGGTGTGTTGAGTTCGCTGCATGGTTCGCGAATAGCAACGCGCGTGGAATCCACGTCGCCTATCTTTCGAAGTTAGTTCGTCCGTTGTTTGCAATGGCTCTGATGGAGCAGCTCCATTTTCCTCGTCTAGGTTCGAGCTTGACGAGATCGAAAATATTAATCCCCCATGGAACGTCGGTCCTGAGGTCCATTCCGACAAAATCCTCGCGTTCTAGTCCCGCGATTCTCGCAAACCGCGATTGCCGTATCTCTAGAGGCTCACCAGTCAGAGCTGGCGGAAATGGCTCGCTTGGTCTTGCAGCTGGTTCGTGTTTTACGTGCCTCGACCTCGGGAATGTTTCTCGACGACAACCCTTGTCGATTGGTCTTGCAGATGGGTTAGGAGCGAGATTAAGTTACGCTGCGCGTCGCTTTCCGTCTCAGTCCGTCGCAGCAACTGTCGCACGAGCTAGTGTAGGCGACTCCTCGCGATCGTCCAGTCGGGCGAGGAGAACAGCAGCGCCGGCGACTGTAGCGGCTGCACGGCCAGCTCTCGCCGCTGCAGTTGCGTCGGAACGGACAGCAGCACCATCTGTAGCAGCGTCTGCAGCATCATCTGTAGCAGCATGTACAGCACTCCAAGCAGCTGCGGCTGTAGCAACGGCGGGGAAACCCCAGTCTCGAGCGCCAAAAGCGCCGACCGCGCGCAAAGCAGCGATCGGGGAGGTGCTTGGGGGGATATTCGGCGCAACGAGCCCCGCGGAGAAGACACGTCAGCAGTACGCGGAACAGCTAGCGCGGGTGAACCGGCTGGAGGCGATCGCGTCGCGATTGTCGGACGGCCAGCTAAGAGGAACGACCAGAGACCTGCAGCAGAGGGTTGCTGCTGGAGAGACCCTTGAGAGTGTGCTCCCGGTATAGTCACTTTGCATTAAATTTCTCTAGAGTGTGCTGCTGCTTTTCCACCTGCTGCTTTTGCACCCGCTGCTTTCCCTACCTGCTGCTTTCCTTATTATTTCCAACTTCCCCACTCGGTGCTGCGAGACTGTCACATTTCCCTACTGGCAGGAGGCGTTTGCTGTTGTCCGAGAAGCTTCCAAGAGAGTTCTCGGCCTGAGACCTTTTGATGTTCAGCTCATAGGTACACCCAATCACACTCTATCATGAGCTCTTCCCAACAACCAACAACTCTCAACAACCTATTCTTCTTGGTAATGCTCGACTGAGCATCCCTCCCTTCTCAACAGCCCGCTTATTGATCCACAATCCTCTCACAACACATCATGCCTTGAATTTTGAAATAACCTCAGCTTAACATGCCTTACGTTACCTCGCTTACCTTTTTTCTCCTTGGTAGCTCTCTTCTGAGAGAGCTACCTTCTCTTCCTCCTTTCATAATTGCTAACCCTTTTACGTCGTGCCTTGGAGAATGAAAGCACCTCCTCACGTACCTGTATCACCTTCGAGAACCAGTGCAAGTGATGCAAACGTAGCCAACCCCCCACTCCCCTCCAACCCCCCCACTTGCTTCCTTGTTGCCCACACAAATTGAAGGCAGAATCCTTTCTTAGGATCCACTCTGAAATAGCTGCCTTCCTCCCTTTTTGTGGTTTTTTTTTGCCAATTTGATGCCTGCCACGTGTCATGTGGTGAGGATGCGTGTGAACTTGCCAGGTGGCATGGTGCTGCATGACGGTCAGATCGCTGAGATGCGGACGGGGGAAGGGAAGACGCTGGTTGCTGTGCTGCCTGCCTACCTCAACGCTCTCACAGGTGCGTGTGTGTGGGGGGGGTGGAGGGGGGCGTGTGTGTGTGTGTGCTTGGTCGAGACTATGAAAGACGCTTGTGGCCGTGCTCCCTGCCTATCTCAACGCCCTCACAGGTGTGTGTGTGGGTGGTGGGTGGGTTGGAGGGTGAGTGCGTGCGTGTTTAGTAAAAAGCCTGCCTGGCCCTCATGGGTGCATTTATTTACATGCCTTGATTACTTTTGAGTCGACTCAAAAGTCACCTCGAGTCGACTCAAAAGCCTGCGTCGCCCTCATGGGTGCATTTATTTACATGCCTTGTTCCTCCCTCCTCTTGAACCCAATCGGCCTCCTTCCTATCAACCCCCATCTCCCTCCCTCTTCTCAACGTCCGTCACTCTCCCTCCTCACCAGGCAAGAGCTTGCATGTATGTGTTGCATGTGGCTGTCGGCATGTGCAATCCACTTGAACCGACCCTCTTTGCTCCTAAACTTCTTCGCCCTCCCTTCCGCCCCAGGCAGGGGCGTGCACGTGGTGACAGTGAGCGACTACTTGGCTCGTAGGGATGCCGAGTGGGTGCAGCAGGTCCCCACGTTGCGTGTCTTTCTGGTTTTTTAGAATTCTCAAAAACCAGCGAGTGGGTGCAGCAGGTCCCCACGTTGCGTGTCTTTCTGGTTTTTTAGAATTCTCAAAAACCAGCGAGTGGGTGCAGCAGGTCCCCACGTTGCGTGTCTTTCTGGTTTTTTAGAATTCTCAAAAACCAGCGAGTGGGTGCAGCAGGTCCCCACGTTGCGTGTCTTTCTGGTTTTTTAGAATTCTCAAAAACCAGCGAGTGGGTGCAGCAGGTCCCCACGTTGCGTGTCTTTCTGGTTTTTTAGAATTCTCAAAAACCAGCGAGTGGGTGCAGCAGGTCCCCACGTTGCGTGTCTTTCTGGTTTTTTAGAATTCTCAAAAACCAGCGAGTGGGTGCAGCAGGTCCCCACGTTGCGTGTCTTTCTGGTTTTTTAGAATTCTCAAAAACCAGCGAGTGGGTGCAGCAGGTCCCCACGTTGCGTGTCTTTCTGGTTTTTTAGAATTCTCAAAAACCAGCGAGTGGGTGCAGCAGGTCCCCACGTTGCGTGTCTTTCTGGTTTTTTAGAATTCTCAAAAACCAGCGAGTGGGTGCAGCAGGTCCCCACGTTGCGTGTCTTTCTGGTTTTTTAGAATTCTCAAAAACCAGCGAGTGGGTGCAGCAGGTCCCCACGTTGCGTGTCTTTCTGGTTTTTTAGAATTCTCAAAAACCAGCGAGTGGGTGCAGCAGGTCCCCACGTTGCGTGTCTTTCTGGTTTTTTAGAATTCTCAAAAACCAGCGAGTGGGTGCAGCAGGTCCCCACGTTGCGTGTCTTTCTGGTTTTTTAGAATTCTCAAAAACCAGCGAGTGGGTGCAGCAGGTCCCCACGTTGCGTGTCTTTCTGGTTTTTTAGAATTCTCAAAAACCAGCGAGTGGGTGCAGCAGGTCCCCACGTTGCGTGTCTTTCTGGTTTTTTAGAATTCTCAAAAACCAGCGAGTGGGTGCAGCAGGTCCCCACGTTGCGTGTCTTTCTGGTTTTTTAGAATTCTCAAAAACCAGCGAGTGGGTGCAGCAGGTCCCCACGTTGCGTGTCTTTCTGGTTTTTTAGAATTCTCAAAAACCAGCGAGTGGGTGCAGCAGGTCCCCACGTTGCGTGTCTTTCTGGTTTTTTAGAATTCTCAAAAACCAGCGAGTGGGTGCAGCAGGTCCCCACGTTGCGTGTCTTTCTGGTTTTTTAGAATTCTCAAAAACCAGCGAGTGGGTGCAGCAGGTCCCCACGTTGCGTGTCTTTCTGGTTTTTTAGAATTCTCAAAAACCAGCGAGTGGGTGCAGCAGGTCCCCACGTTGCGTGTCTTTCTGGTTTTTTAGAATTCTCAAAAACCAGCGAGTGGGTGCAGCAGGTCCCCACGTTGCGTGTCTTTCTGGTTTTTTAGAATTCTCAAAAACCAGCGAGTGGGTGCAGCAGGTCCCCACGTTGCGTGTCTTTCTGGTTTTTTAGAATTCTCAAAAACCAGCGAGTGGGTGCAGCAGGTCCCCACGTTGCGTGTCTTTCTGGTTTTTTAGAATTCTCAAAAACCAGCGAGTGGGTGCAGCAGGTCCCCACGTTGCGTGTCTTTCTG